AGACCTTGTTTCAAAATGATAAATCAGAAGGAAGACTGGGCATGTGACTGAGTAACAGAGCTTGCTTGGACGAGTTAGGGTCTGGGTTCAACTCCGTTACCTCAAACAAAATAAGACAGCTAGGTGGTGGTGGTGCACACCTTTATTCCCAGCACTTGGAAAGCAGAGACAGGTGGATCTCTGAGATCGAGGCCAGCCTGGTCTACATAGTGAGTTCTAGTACAGCCAGGGCTACACAGAGAAACCCTGTCTCGAAAAAACAAACAAACAACAATAAAACCCAACAAGTCAAAGACACTATAGCTGAGTGCAGCAATCCCAGCAATCAGGAGACTGAGGCTGGAAGATGGTGAATTGAAGCTAGCCTGGGCAACATAGAAAGACACATATAGACACACAGGCAAAACACTCATACACATAAACAAACAAAAATGACTGATAAGATGGTTCCGTGGACAAACACACTTGCTGCCAAGCCTGAAACCCGAGTGCAATCCTTGGAAGCCATACAGCCAACCCCTGCAGGCTGTCCTCTGACCTCTATACACGTGCTATGGCGCACACAAAAACAACATAAAAAACGTGAGCCTAGGTCTCTTTGCATTCGACCTCCCTTACCCCAACCTTTGCCCAATCTGTATAGCTCAGTCCTTTTATCCATGGTCAATGTAAATCAATTATACTTTCTTTCCCCCAGTTTTCATGATAAAGATGCTCTGACTTTGTAGATTCTGGAGCCATCTTTACAACTGCTACCCAGCCTTGCTGCTGGGCAGTACCAGAACTGCTCGTCTTCTGGCCAGTATCATTGTGATGATTCAATAAGCCATATTATTTCAGGGAAATCTCTGTCTCAAGAGTTATAAAAGGGGTGACCAATCCAAGTTGGGCAACTTCAGTCTGGTCTTGGGGCACTGAGATGTGGTTCAGGCATGTGGGAAGAGCTGTCTCAATATCTTTACCAGGGAAGAGGTGATGTCACCCAAGGCTGAGCTGGGCAGGGTTAGGATAGAGTAAGATGGTGACTCTGCCCAGATGTCACTATGAGAGTAAGATGGACAGGGAACCGAGAGGGAAGCTGGAATAGGAGTGGTAATCTATCCATCATCTGTAGGGGAAAACTGAGGCTCAGAAAGACCCTGAAAGTCTTTCCTATTCAAGAATTTGGCAGGAGGTCCAAATCTCGGTTCTGAATCTGGGAGGCTTCAGGGATGGGAGACTTTTGTAGTGGGTGAAAGTACAAGATGGAGATCAGGTGTCCTCTAGGGTGTGGATTCACTTGATCTTCCTCTCACCTGTGAGCCCTGCTCCTGTCCCAGTCCATATCTTTGTGATGATACAGGTTGGCAGACCCCTCTGGGTGTCATCCCAGTTCATCTCCACAGCTGAACACCCCAGGTGTGCTTCCTGACTCAGCCCCTTTCCAGACAGTTATTTGTTTTGTTTGTCTTTGGGTTTTTGAGACAGGGTCTCTCTGTGTGGCTCTGGCTGTCCTGGAACTCACTCTGTAGACCAGGCTGGCCTCAAACTCACAGAGCTTGCCTGCCTCTGCCTCCCCAGTGCTGGGATTAAAGGTGTGCGCCACCACACCTGGCTTCCGGGCAGTTTGTAAAGAAGCTACTAGGTTCATAGAAAATGGTTGATCAGTTGCTCCCTGCATAAAAGCACCTAGCTGAGGGGTCATTGCCACTATCTCACTCAATATATCCCGACAATACTGCATGGGTCCATGTTGCCTGGAGTACAATGTCTTTTTCCAGCTGGTGAAAAAGTGTTGGAAGGATTGAAACTGCTTTCTGAAGAAGGGCTCATCAGAATGTGTGAATACAAGTGTTCACATTAAAGCTGGGCATGGTGACACATGCCTTTGATCCCAGCAGAGGCAAACCTGCGGATCTCTGTAAGTTAAAGGCCAGCCTGGTCTACATAGTGAGTTTTGAGACCAGTCTGGTCTACATAGTGAGTTCCAGGACAGCCAGAGCTACACAGTGAGACTCTGTCTCAAAACAAAACAAACAAAAAAGTTCACATAAACCAGGCACGCTTGTAATCCCAGTGCTTGGGAGGTAGAGACAGGCAGATCACGACCACTTTGAGTCCAACCTGGTGTACGTAGTGAGCTCCAGGTCAGACAGGGTTGTATAGTGAGAAGCTGTCACAAAACAAAACAACTGTGCTTGCACAGGAGGAACCTGTTTCTCCTCTCTGACCTCTCAGGATTGCCATGGAGATGGCAGGCAACAGGACCTGCTTAAGTGCTGCCCAGAAAATGCTTCCCAGAGGAGGAAGGACAGCGACTCTGCCCCATCCAGGGCCCTGCTGGGAAGTATCTACTGCTAGAGTCTGTGTCCCGGGAGCCACCGCCACAGAGGCTGTCTCAGCTGGTGGCTGCAAAGCTTGTCCCACCCCCTTGGTGTCCTAGAAGAGCTGAACTGCAGAGGGGAAGGAGCATGTGGGCTGCAAGCCTCAGACCCCACTTTTTGCTGTCGTTTTTGTTTTTGAAACAGGGTTTCTCTGTGTAGCCCTGGCTGTCCTGGATCTCACTCTGTAGACCAGGCTGGCCTCAAACTCACAGAGATCTGCCTGCCTCTGCCTCCCGAGTGCTGGGACTAAAGGCATGTGCCACCACCACCTGGCAAGAACCCCACTTTTGACTGCCAGGGCTTGGGCACTGACTAAAGGCTCTGAGATTATGTCCTGGCAGCCCTAGCTGCCTCTGCCTCCCATTGTGGCCTTGGGCTGCATGTTCAGCCTCCCAGCCTCCCTTTATCTAGTAAGGCTATCAGGACCTGTGCAGAGACCCTGGGCAGGGAATCTGAGGAACAGCCTTATGAACCCCACATCAGATAATAATTAAGCTGTGGATAGCCTAGTGAGTAGGGAAGAGGAGGGAAGGAGACCCCAGAAGTTTCATTTGTCTTTTCTCTTTCCCTTATTGTAGTGGGGATGGACTCCAAAATCCCACACAAGCTAGACAAGCACTCCTCCACTAAGCTATCTTCTCAGCCCTCTATTTACTTTCGTGTTTTAGAGTCAGCCTCCCTAAGTTACCCAGGCTGGCCTTGAACTCACTCGGTAGGCCAGGCAAGACTTGAACTCGTGACTCTCCTGCCTTAGTCTCCCATGTAGCTGGGAATACAGGCCTGCACCACCACCAGGCCTGGCTTTTCTAGGTGTTTAACACAGGAGCCATCCAGAAGAGTAGGGCAAAGTAGATGTCCAGGGTTGGGGGATGGGGGACTGCTGGTTCATGGGATGCCAAGTGTGGATGTTAGCCTTGGGTCTGACATGGTAGTAAGGATTTAGCCAAGTTCACTCTACTTGTAAGCCTCAGTTTCCCTAGGGAAATGACAGATAAGGGTCTGCTCTTCTATAATTATTTCCTATGGAGCAGGCTTCCCGTGAAGGAGACAGGTCTGCCTGGACCTGGCAGGTACCACAAAAACACATATGGGGTACTTTTCTTTTCTTGCTTTTTTTTGGCTGGGGATAGGGAAGGGGGTTGAAACAGAGTCTCACTAGGTAGCCCAAGCTGGCCTTAAACTCCTGATCCTCTTACCTCCACTTCCTAGGTGTTGGGATTACAGATGTGCATCACCTGGCTCAGCTCACAGGACGCATTTCTATAGCCCCATCACTAGAACATTCCAGATCCAGATTCTGACAGGACCACGCCAAAGTCCCAGCACAGCTGATAGGAAACCTCCCGCCCTAAGCAGGGACCCACACCTACTACCCTAAGTGTGTGTGCTGGTATGTGGCTTCCCATGTGCACATCTGCTCTTTCTCCAACACTGTATCACAAGGAACTGATACCAGGAACTTTGTCATGGCCAGGGTAGTGCCACCATACTCCAAGGACTGACTTTTTTTTTTTTTTTTTTTAGTTTTTTGAGACAGGGTTTCTCTGTGTAGTTTTGGTACCTGTCCTGGATCTCACTCTGTAGACCAGGCTGGCCTTGAACTCACAGAGATCTGCCTGGCTCTGCCTCCCAAGTGCTGGGATTAAAGGCGTGTGCCACTGCTGCCCGGCAACATACTGACTTCTAATCCAAATCTTACACAGGAGAAAAACTCATTTATAAAACAAAACGACACACTCCTGAGCCGTGAAAGATTATCAGCTCTCAGCCCATTGCCTCCTAAGATTTGTCTCTTCCTTTGTTTGGGGTAGGGGTGGGTTGCTGGCCTCCCCCTGAATCAACACTGTCCCTTGCTCCTTGAGAGGAACATGTCCCTCTCTGCCTTCTCTCTGCTCAGTCTCATTGCTGTTGCTTCCACCGCAGCCCCAGGATGGTTTCCCATGGGAAGGAGGGCCTCCAAACCCTTCTCCCCAGCTCCTCCTGCCTGGCCCCCACCTTCAGGGTGCTGGGAAGTTACCCAGGGAGCCAGAGAGCCAGGGCAACTAGGCCCAGGCTTTGTGGAGACAAGAAGCCAGCATCAGAACCAGCCCTGTTGTCTTGACAGTGACTCCTGTCCCAGGCACCCTAGGCACCCACAGGGGCAATTAGTGAGTGTGGGAGAGGGTTTCCATGGTGGCAGTCCCAAGGGGTACACCAGGGCTTAGGGAAGAACAAGGGCTGGCAGGACCTTTCTCCTTTGTCCCAAGCACACTAGGTCTTTGTTCTTGCCTGGCTCTCTTTGACAGATGGGACCAGGAGCATGGCTGGGGAGGCCAACATGGCTTAGAGTCCCCCACCCAAGGGAGGCCTGAGCATCTGGGGGGGGGTGGGCAAAGAGAGGCTGGAGTCCCCCTCTGGGGCCCAGCTGTCATTGGGGACCTTCCTCTTGTGGAGAAGCCTGACCTGTACCCTGGAGGCTGCTGCACACTGGCTCAGTATTGGCTCCTTTCCCCGTAAACACCTTACCCAGCAGCCAACGGGCAGCCTTGGTGTGTCCCCATGTGGGACTATGACAGGAAGGGGGAATGTGGGCAGGAGGAAACATGGCAGTAAGTCCAGAGTGAAGAGCTGAGGAATATTGATCCAGCTCTATCCAAGTATCTTCTCAGTCAGGCTTTATTTGAGGTTCCCCAACAAGAAGCCCATGGGGGTACTGTATCCCAGCCAGACACTTCACCCCCACACTCCTTCAGTGCTGGCTTTGAGGCTGGAAATGGCAGGCACCAGATAGCTCCCCACAAACTCCACTCAGTGGCCTTCCTTTATCTTTGTGCCTGACACAGTCCTCAAAGTGGGGAGATACTCACTCCCCTCCTCCAGGTGGTCCTTGCTGGGATCAGTGAGCCACACAGTTCAGAAGTAAAGTGCAGTACACATTTCTGGGGCTGGCATGGCTGCTCAGAAGATCGAGATATGGTGGCACTAAGTACACTGTATACTCAGAAGCGGGTGTCCAGGAAAGAGGCGGAGCCTCGGTGGGACCTGGAGGGACCCTCAATAGGGGGACCCCGGGCCCTTGTCAGGAGCCCATGGAAAGTCTTGCCACGGGTCTGTGGCTTGCGCCGTGGCGGCCTGGGCTCCTCTGGGGGCTGCACGACTATTCGGGGTATCTCAGGTTTGGTGCTTCCTCGAACCCCTGCCAGCTGCTGGGACTCAAAGATGGCTTGGGCCCCAGGAAGGCGGGCCTGTGGCAGAGGTGCTGGCCCAGGTGATGACTTGGGCAGCTGGGCCAGTTGGATCCTGATTTCCCGCTGCAGATCTCGCTCAGACAGGGCTACACTGTGTACCTGTGAGGAACAGTTGATGCTGACTTTGCCTGGACTGGGGTGGCAGGGAGCAGGAAGCCTTGAGGTCCCCATGGGGCAGGCAGTACACCACCCCAGGAAGTGGCTGAGGGCTGAGACACAGCTTTGCTGGGACCCAAAGAAAGACAGTTGAGGCCTGGGGTTCTCACATTTGCTGCTGCTCAGAGCACAGGAACTGCACCTTACTCTCCCCTGGGCTCACTCTTCCCAGCCGTGCAGCATGGGCAAGGCCCGTGAGGATGACTAGCTGAGGGAGATACCCACCTGGGACATGAAGGCCTCTTCCTGCAGCTGGGTGGTGGGGATGGTTCGAAGGGCCCCCAGGGTCTCCAAGAGCCCTGGGCATGCCGTGCGCTGCTCCACGGTACCCAGTGCCAGCCGCATCAGTGTCAGCCCCACACGGAAGAGGACCTTGGCACCTGCGGGGAAGGGAGCTGCTCACCCCCAAGAAAGCAGTCTGCCCCCCTCAGTTCTTCAGCTGAATCAGCCCTCAGACACGCGCCTTCTACCTCACTGTGGCTCACTTCACCCAGCTCAGGCCAGGAAAATGGCCAAAGGCTGCAGTTGGTTCCTTTGCTGAGACAGGGTCTCGTGGAACCAGGCCTCCGTGTCTGCCTGTGTAGCTGAGATGACCTTGACCTCCTGAGCCTCCTGTCTCTTCCTCTAGAGAGCTGGATTACAGGCTCATGACACAAGTGCTCAGTTTTTTGTCTTGTTTTTTGAGATAGTCTTACTTTGTAGCTCTGGCTGGCTGGAACTTACTATGTAGCCAAGGTTGGCCTCCTACTTACAGAGATCCATAGCCTCTGCTTTCTAAATGCTCAGATTAAAGGTATGTGCTGCCATGCACGGAGCCATCTCAGCTCACGCATCTGGCTGTTTGTTTTCTTGAGATAAAGTCTCACTCTGTAGGCCATGCTGGCCTGGAACTATGTGACCCAGCCTCACCTTGAACTCACAGCAATCCTCCTGCCTCGTTCTCTGAGCTGGGATTCTAAGTGTGAATTATGATGCCTAGAAGACTACAATTTGAGGGCACAGGACCCTGCAGGGGGCAAGCCAGTCTCAGGACACTAGACACTTCCAGGCAGGGCAGCTAGCCAGGAGCCAGGCTTTTTCAGAGTCTCGGTACCCTGTCTCCTCAAGGAGCAGCTGGGTTGGTGCCTATTAAGGACTTTTCATCTTGAATCTGCCACCTTCTGATTTGAGGAGGGTTCTGGGCAGAACTTCATTTCTTCCTAAACCAAGAGCATAGCACTGGTGTACACACACACACACACACACACACACACACACACACACACACATACACACACAGGAGAGAGAGGGGGAAACATTGGCCAGTCCTAGGGCCTCACAATCCCTTTCTGGCACCCTCTGAACCACTCAGAGCAGATAGGATGCCAGGGGGACCTAGTGACAGCTGTTACTTATAAAGGAACCGTTGCTACGTCATCACTGCTATTAAAGGGACCTGTGCAGTGCTTGTCCCCATGTACAGGGGACAGGGGTCAGTTGAAGCACCACAATCAGCCCTGCTCCTTAAGGTCAGAGGCTACAGGAGAGTGACACATGTGCTCTGGGTACCTAGGCCATGATTTTTGTTTGTTTCTTTGTCTTTTAAGATTTGGAGATAGAGTTTCACATAACCCAGGTTGGCCTCAAACTCACTTGCCAAGGAGGATCTTGAACTTCGGATTCTCTTGCTACTGCCTCCCAAGTGCTGTGATTACATGCCTAGTTTTAGACAATGCTGGAAACTGGGCCAGGGGTGTATTAGCATACTAGGCAAGCACTCTACCGACCGAGCTAACTGCATTACCAGCCCAAACTTGAGCCTGACTGTAGGAGAAATCTCTAGACATATGGGGCAGCGTAAAGCAGAGCCCTGAAGTCCCAGAGTCCAACTTGCCTCTGCTCCAATGCCCCTTCCACTCTTGGCCCCCAGGCTGTGACCGGATCTCCCTGCCTGTGGTGGCCTTCCTGGCTTCTAACCTCCCTCCACCTGCTTACCTCCTTCACAGAGCAGCCAGAACCATCTTTAAAAACAGCAACCACCTCCTGCTGCTCTCCTGACACCCTGTCACATCCCTTGATTTATTTTCTTCATGGCACTTATGACATTCTATAAATATCTTCTTAATTTGGGTACTGTCACCTCGTAGCCCCACCCCCACCAAAATGAAAGTTTCATAAGCTAGCTGTCAGAGTCAGCTTGCCGGGCCACTCAGGAAGAGCTGTGGACACACAGCCCCGAGGAGCATCTCCTATTGTTGTGAACCATGACTCAGCCTTGCACATCCTGAACCCCTCACATCCCACAACACGTGCCTCGACCAACCTGGTTCCTGCCTAACAGACCCCAGGCCCCTATCCCCATCAGAGACGGACCTATCCTTGTACTTAGCCTCCCACTGTGGTCCTTGTGATAAGTAGAGGCTCTCATTCATGACTCTGAGATCATGTCAGTGAGGTGGGCTATTTTCTCCACAGACACACTCAGGTCCAAAAGGGACGAGAGTGGGCGCCTCAAGCACAGCAAATTCAGAGACGTGACCTAGCCCCCCAAGGCCCCACTCACCCTCACTAAGGAAGGCATCCCAGATGCGCAGCACCGTGGGGAAGGGCAGCGAGCGGGTGAAGAGGCACAGGAACCACTCAGGCAGGTAGAGCAGGGGCCCAACGCCTGCCTGCAGCAGGTGCTTGTACACACGTGGAAGCAGCCGCCGCAGAAGGGCCATGAACACTTCAGCATCCAGCTGCACTGCTTCCTACAGCCAGGCTCCTCGTCAGTCTGCCTAGCCGGTGCTACAAACCTCCACTCCCAAACCCCAGGCTTCTGATCCCTCACTCCCCTGACCCCCACTTCCCATTTTCATATCCCTACCCAGCTTCTCACCATGTGGGGCCCATAGTAGCCTGGGAGGTAGACCTCGCAGATCTGCACCAAGCACCAGAAGGCTTCCTGAGGGCAGGGCACAGGCCTGTGAGTCCTCACTAAGGAAGGGTCCACAGAGCAGGAGGAGAGGTAGGGAGCAGGCACAGGGGGGTGGATTCATGCCACTGTCACCCTGCTCAGAGCCTGCCCTGACCTGGGGGTGAGGGGTTCTGTATTTGAGGGCCATAAGGCCCTTTGGGGAAAATTTGGGAAGTTCTCAGAGTCTATGTCCCAGAATCCTAAGGTCACTGGGGTCCTCCCCGCCCCCCGGGGCCAAGGTCATGGTGCTCCAGACTCAGTTCAGTGTCACAAACGATAAGCTAGGGAAAGCCAGTGTGAGTGGATGCTCCTGGCAAGCCTGGGCACGGTACAGAATTCAGAATGCGAAAGGGAAGTTTTTCCAGACTCCTAGATCACTGGGGTAAAGGTCCAGGAGTAGAAGTCAAGGATGATAGACTTAAACCTTACTAAGACTGGTGGACATGAGGCTTTGGTCACTAGAACAGGGCCTGGAAGGAAAGGACCACAGGATCCTGAGGTCTGAGTACCGGGGTTGGAGGTTGGAGGTCTAAAAGCTCAGGGTCACTGGGGGCACAGGTGAGTAGGAATTGGGGGTCTCAGAGCAGGGTCAAGGTCACTCACCTCTGGGGGCAGATGCATAAGCAGTACCGCAGCTACAGGGCCCTGAGCCTGACAATAGCCCTGTTCCGGCCGGTACAGGGTGTAGGCCTTGAGAACCTGCAGCAGCCCCTGCTGCCTGTGCCAGAAAATCTCATCAGGGCCAGCCTCCTAGTTCTGCATCCCTTCCCCGCCCTCTGTGGCCTCCGCCCGGCCACAGTCTCCCTCAGCCACGGATGGAAATGTGAAGGAGGGAAGTGGGCTGAAGCATCGTGCATGAGGACTTGGGGTCCCTGGGTATCCCTGGCCTCGTACCCGTGTCCCTGGGGTGACACAAACATCTCGTGCAGAGGGAACTGGCGGTGCAGGTCCCTGCCAATGGTCTCCATCCACTGCGGGTCTCCAGGGGCCACGGCCAACTCCTACAGGTGGTAGGAAGGTGGACGTGAGGGCTCAGGGTGGCATGATCTCTGAGAAGGGGAGGTAAAGGGTCTGCCAGCTCCCTCACCTGATAGGTGCCAGGGTTGTTCTTCTGGCACATCCGGGCCCCACACAGCAGGGGCCAACACCGGGCCCGCAGGGCTGAGGGGATGCCCTTTCGGCACTGTATCTTGACCTGTGGGTGAGGTCCAGTTGGCATGTTAGGTCCGCTTCTCACAGCTTCTCATTGGCCAAGGGCCCAGTGCGGGGGGGGGGGGGGGGGGGGCAGAGGCAGGGGGACCAGTACTCACAGAGCCCTCTTTCCTCACCTTCTTGTACCGTCGAGACATGGTCTTCTCCCAATGTGAGGTCATCTCCACCCACTTCATCTCCCGCTGACGGATGAGGTCTGCAGGGGGGTGACCAGGCCTGGAGGCACAGGACACAGCAGTCCTTGGGACCTTCCCCTTCCAGGCTATCAGAGAGACCCGCAGCTCCTGGCCTGGGGATCACTGAGGAGTCCTGGAAGGGGATCTGTGGCCCAGAAGCTGCCCATGGTTGTCACAGTTAAAGGAGGGGAATCGGGCCTCAGCAGGGAGAGAAGCGGGAGAGACTGAGGCGTGAGGAGGTGTGTATTGAGGGAGGGTCTGTTTAGCTGTCACCCACAACAGAGACACAGACAATTCACAAGGGGTGCTGGGTGGACAGTGCCCTGGACTGGAAGCCAGAAGTCCTGGGTTTGAATCTGCTTCTCTTTATGATCTGCTGTGTGATGTGGGGCAAGTTTCTGTCTGTCTCTGGGCCTGTTTAACTGTGGGAGGTAAACCTGAAGAAGAGCATGAAAGAGGTTCCGATTTCCACCTGGAGTTCTTGGGTTAGAGATTAAAAGGCTGGGAGGTGGTGGCGCACGCCTTTAATCCCAGCACTCGGGAGGCAGAGCCAGGCCGATCTCTGTGAGTTCCAGGCCAGCCTGGTCTACAGAGTGAGATCCTGGACAGGCACCAAAGCTACACAGAGAAACCCTGTCTCAAAAAAACAAAACAAAACAAACAAAAAAAAAAGGGGGGGGAATGCAGCAATAAATGAGGGAGCGTTCAGACCCTCAGAAGATAAGAGACATAAGGACATTGCCTCCACTACCCTCCTTACCTTAGAATTCCACCTGGGACCTGAGGAGTAACACTGGCTGAGTTCTGGGCTAGTCTCTACAGCCAGACCCCTGAAGCCGGGCCTAACTCCAGAACGCAGTTCTCAGTCTGTGTACCCAATCTCCCCACCCATGCCTCACTTACCCCGGTTCTGCTGAGTTGCCCCCAATGAAGCCATAGCGGTCAGCCTGGCGATATGGACTAGGCCCACTCAGCTCTGAGTCCGACCCTAGAGAGCTAGAATCATCCTGTAGTTCTGACGGCAGCACCAGCTCTTCCCCCAGGGCCTGGGCCATTGTGCCCGAGACCCCAGTGTCACAGGCTGCAAGACATACGGGAGTTGTCAGACCGAGGCCGGGGGTTCCAGTCACCAGTCCTCAGCCACAGGGGACTAAGCCTCCTCTTCTACAGGGTTACCACAGAGGCCGAGCCCCAGGTACAGCCCCAGCCCCAGGCCTGGCCCTGGCCCCAGCAGACCAGCTCACCTCCTTGCTGCACCTCACCTCCTCTCACTTCCTCCTCAGTCTCAGCTTCAGCAGCCTGTTGGGGGCCCCTCCCAGGTTGGGGGGGACTCCCCCCTTCCTCTATGAGGTTCTTCCTGCTTGCCCTAGTGCCCGGGCCATGATCTCCTCCCATCCACAGGATGCTGGTGTGATGAGTTCCCTGGCTTGCCAGAGATGAAGATGACAGGCCACCATCACTTTTGGGGTCACTAGCATGAGAAACCCAATTCAAGGTTCCAATAAAAATTATGCTTTACTGTTTTGCACGCCTGCATCTTTCTTTTTCGGGAGTGAAGGGGTACTGTCTGGGAACAAGGGTCTCATGTAGCCCGGGCAGGAGATGAACTCTCTATATAGTTGAGCATGACCTTGAACTTCTGATCCTCCTTGTCTCCAGACTCCTGAGTGCTGGGATTTCAGACACTGGAACTGCAGGTTTATGACACCATGCCTACCTTAATGCTCTACTGTTTAAAATAATACCTTTTTTTCTTTTTTGCTTCCAGAACCGGAGATGGAACCTAAGGCCTTGCACATGCTAGGCAAGTCCGAATACTCCACAAAGTACTTACAACATGAACGCGGTGCAATACTATTACATCACTCACAGAAGAAAAAAAAAATTGACATAGCAGGCACCAAGGCAACCTGGACCAAAATATGCTCAGAGTTCAGTAGCAGGTGTCCATGGGTTTGGCCACAAAGACCGAGGTGAATGTGAGGCCTGGTCTGGAGCCCACTCTCAAAATCATAAAGCCTTAGTGTGAGAAGCCAGCGATTAACGCGCTCACACCACAATCTCACAGAGGGCTGGGGTGAGAAGAGACTTTTGAGGGAGAAAAACAATTTCCACAGCACTTCCGGCCCTAACTCCTCTGAACGCCGCAAGGCGATTCCTCCGGGGTGGAGCCAACTCGACCCCGCCCCACCAAGCCCCGCCCACCACCCCAGCTAGGCTCCGCCCGGCCTCCCGAGACCCTCCCGGCTGCGGCGCTCGCCGTCCAGCAGGGGCGCTAGAGAGCAGGGAACTGCGGGCGCGGCGGGGCGGGGCGGGGCGGCCAGCCGAGAAGGCGGGGCGGCGGGCTGGGGGCGGGCTGGGGCGGGCGGAAGGAGAGACAGGCCGGAAGGAGGCTGCGAGAGGGCGGGAGGCAGGAGAGGGCCCGGAGCTGCTGGGCCGGAGCGGCGGCGCCGCCATGTCCGACAGCGAGAAGCTCAACCTGGACTCCATCATCGGGCGCCTGCTGGAAGGTAGGCAGGGGTAGGGAAGGTGCGCGCGTGCCAAGCCCGGGCCCCTCGCCGTCCGGAAGTGGCGCGCGGGCGGGCCTGCGGCTCCCGGGGGCCAGCGTCGCTTGGGCGGGGACAGGCCGTGAGGTCCTGTGGCCACGGCCACCTCCCCGTCCGCGCGCCTCGGCTTTGGAGCGCGCTCCGGGGCCGGGGACACACGCGCGTGGCCCGGACTCAGGGTGAGAAGCCTGCGAGGCTAGCCTAGGAAGAGGTCCCGGAGCGAGGAGGCTTCGGTTGACAGGGTCTTGAGAACAGGCGTCTGTCTCGGGCCTCCTGGGTGGCCGAGGGGGGTCGGGTCTTGCCTTTGGAGGCCGGAGGCAGAGGTTTCGGGGCGGCTCCCTGGCAACAGTTGCCCGCGTTGGGGAGGCATGACACCTGTCCTCATCCTGTCTGCGAGGCCAGGGTCCTAAGACCCCATTCCGTACCCAGTGCAGGGCTCACGGCCTGGAAAGAATGTGCAACTAACAGAGAACGAGATCCGTGGTCTGTGCCTCAAATCCCGGGAGATTTTCCTGAGCCAACCTATTCTTCTGGAGCTTGAGGCGCCTCTCAAGATCTGTGGTGAGCCCTTGCTCAGAACCCCTTAGCGTCCTGGAAAGACCCCCACTGCCGCCTCACTGCTTGGTTTTCTCCTCCCTGTAGCTCATGGCTGGCCCTGGGTTCAAGTTTAGATCTTGCACCTATCTAGTCTTCTCTGCTTCCTAGGTGACATCCATGGCCAGTACTATGACCTTCTGAGGCTGTTTGAGTATGGTGGCTTCCCTCCAGAGAGCAACTACCTCTTCTTGGGGGATTATGTGGATCGTGGCAAGCAGTCTTTGGAGACCATCTGCCTGCTGCTGGCCTATAAGATCAAATACCCTGAGAATTTCTTTCTGCTCCGTGGGAACCATGAGTGTGCCAGCATCAACCGCATATATGGCTTCTATGATGAATGTGAGTGTGTTAACGTTGCTGGCTGCCCAGAACTACATTCCCTGCTCTTCATGGGACCCTTATATTGGTCTGGTGCCAAAAGACCCCTGATGTTCTGTGTATGAGCCCTGTAAGGCCCCCTCATATGCTGTCATCCCTGACACTCAGGAAAGACCTGCTGAATGGAGGTTCCTGGAGCCCTGCCTGATGACACTCCCCTCTATCACATCCCTTACTTAAGCATGTAGGGTATCTGTGAATAAACCAGACCTGCATTGGGTTTGGCCTGATTCATGGGACCAGAGTGGGTGCCACCATCAAGGTTGGGCTAGACCGGAGTTCAGGTTCCTATGGACCCAGGTGTTAGCACTCTGGAAGGCAGATGAAGCTAATGCAGGGAGAGAGACTGAAGCTGCCCTTGCCTTCCCATCTTTCCTCCCAGCTATACCAGAGTAACCCACAAAATACCCCGGAGTGCACAGCAAACTAGGCTGAGGGTTCCGTGAGGTGGGTGGTCTTCCCAATGAGCCATCTCCTCCTCCTCTGCAGGCAAGAGACGCTACAACATCAAACTGTGGAAAACCTTCACTGACTGCTTCAACTGCCTGCCCATTGCAGCCATTGTCGATGAGAAGATCTTCTGCTGCCATGGAGGTAGGAGTGGTTGTGGGGCCACATCCTCAGGGGCCTTGGGAAGTTGCTAGCCGAACTCTGTTTCCTGGAATAGCTCTTCTTGAATCTCATCTTGGCTGTCACTTCTTGTAGGAAGTCACTGGCACCCAGTTTGGCTGCACTGTTTCCTGTTGTGCCGCTTGGCATCCTGTAGGCAACTCACTCATCTCCTTCCCCATGGGGGTCTGCTCTTTGCACTTTTAAAAGCTGAGGGATGAGCTCTCCCTCCTTGGACTTCCAAGAGTCGAAAGATGAACCCATTGGGGGAGGGGAGGGCTGGGCTGATTCCCAAGAGCTTCTGGTTGAAGGAATGGTACCCACACCTTCCAGGCCTCTCTCCAGACTTGCAATCCATGGAGCAGATTAGGCGTATTATGCGGCCTACAGATGTGCCTGACCAGGGCCTACTGTGTGATCTCCTGTGGTCTGACCCTGACAAGGATGTTCAAGGCTGGGGCGAGAATGACCGTGGTGTCTCCTTTACCTTTGGGGCTGAGGTGGTAGCCAAGTTCCTGCACAAGCATGATTTGGACCTCATCTGCCGGGCACATCAGGTAGGCCGGTGGCCCTGGGGTAGACTGGGGTGGCCAGCTGGTAACTTGTGGACCAAGCAGTTCCTATCCTTGCCCAGGTTGTAGAAGATGGCTATGAGTTCTTTGCCAAGAGGCAGCTGGTGACACTCTTCTCAGCTCCCAACTACTGTGGCGAGTTTGACAATGCTGGTGCCATGATGAGCGTGGATGAGACTCTTATGTGCTCCTTCCAGGTGGGTGTGGGGAAGAGGCTGTCGGGCTGCCTGGCTCAGCACCGGGAGCCTGACCAGCCTTTTCTCTTTCAGATCCTCAAGCCCGCTGATAAGAACAAGGGGAAGTATGGGCAGTTCAGTGGCCTGAACCCTGGAGGCCGTCCCATCACCCCACCCCGCAACTCTGCCAAAGCCAAGAAATAGCCTCCATGTGCTGCCCTTCTGCCCCAGATGATGGATTATTTGTACAGAAATCATGCTGCCATGGGTCACTGGCCCCCCAGGCCCACCCGTCATGGGGAACACAGAGCGCTAAGTGTCTTTTCCTTTCTTTTTTAATGAATCAATAGCAGCATCTAATCCCCCAGGGCTCCCTCCCACCAGCACCTGTGGTGGCTGCAAGTGGAATCCTGGGGCCAAGGCTGCAGCTCAGGGCAATGGCAGACCAGATTGTGGGTCTCCAGCCTTGCACGGCTGGCAGCCAGATCCTGGGGCAACCCATCTGGTCTCTTGAATAAAGGTCAAAGCTGGATTCTCACCACGGCCTCTGTCTCACTTGTCCCAGACAGCGGGCCAGCAGTCCTTTGGTACAAAGCCACCTGGGAGGGCAGACTGACTGGCTGGACATGGGCCTGGCCAGGGCAAACCCCAGTGGCACACTTGGGTCCAGAGGCTATTAGGATTCCAAGCCAAGGCCCAAGTATTGGGAAAGCCAGAGAAATAGTCCCTACGAACCACTGGGCCCCGGAGGATTGACAGGGAGTCCATGATTGGCAGACGGTAATCAGCACTGTAATTTTTTTTCTTTTTTAAGAGGCAGGCAAGCCTGAGGAAGGTAAGTTTCTAGCTCTAGCCAGATACCTAGGGCCTGTGGCTGGCTCTACAGTGAGAAAGAGGTGAGGAACCTGTCAGGTGGCAGCTGGGCACCAGAAAAAGACATGATTGATACAGGTTGAGTGAAACAGTCCAAACATGGTTGCCTAGGCAGCTCTGCAGCGGACAGCCAAGTGGGGCCTACCCCAAGTACAGCCCTTCCCATGCCCAGGGACCGAGTTCCAGCCCTGCCAGTGGCTGGGCATGCTTCTGGTCCATGGGCCTTTGGACACAGGCTTCAGTTTCTCAAGTTCAGCCTTCACCATCACTGTCTTCAGCCAGAACAGGGCTGGGACCCTGGGGGGAGTGTACAGGGGCCAGGATGGAACCAAAGAAAAGTGAACGAAACTGGAAAGAGAATAGAATAGAAAAAGCCCAATTAGTCTGGGAGCTGCTTTCCTTCTCCTCACAGTTCCCACCCCACCCTCCAGCTCCTACCTTCTTGGGTGGGGGAGTCCCAGGCACTGTACTGGGCTCAGCTTCTTCCTCTTCTTCCTCTTCCTCCTCCGAGGGAGGGGCAAGGTCATGAGAGGGCTGAGAGACAGGTGGGAGGGAAGTGGAAGGCTGTGCCCGGGAGCCCTCACTGCCCACGGTGGTTTCCATGGCAATCATGTAACAGTCGATGTCATCATTGGTAAAGTCATCTAAGTGGGGTATGCTGTAGGCAGAGACAATATCAGCATGGAACAGGGAAAGAAGAGGGATACAGAGGCAGGCCCCACTTTGGAGGGCTTGAGGCCTCAAGACTTCTGGTGAGCTTTTGATTTTATTACTTCCTGATTTGGCTGGGAGGAAAGGATGCAGGGGTTAAGTGGGAGCTTCCTGGAGGGGGTGGAACTGGAACCCCTTTGATCAGAGTTCAGGTAGGGGCCTGAGGGAGGCATCCTGGGGGCCAACTTAGCTTAGCTGGGGGAGGGAAGCAACAAGTCCTGTGAACAGGGCCACATGGGGCCCAATCCTTCACCTTCCCAAAGGATAGGAGCTGGAGAGCACCAGAGCCCAGGGACATGCTGGGCTGTGGGCCAGACCAAACTTCCTCTGCTTCCACTGCACTGAACCCATCCTCCCAGCCCACCTGCCCTTCCAGCCACCTGCTTTCCTACACCAGGCAGCTCCCGGCCTCCTGGCAGCCCTTTCCCGCCTAGCCTGGGAGGAGGCTCAGAGGGGAGGCCTCAGCCAGAGAAGGAAGCCAGCAGGACCTTGGGGATGCCTCTTTGGATGGGAGGGGTCTCAGTACAGCTGACCATGAAGGCTGGAAGCCCTGTAGAGGCTGGGGCCTGACAGGAAGGAAGTATGTACTGGGGGAGGTTCACAAACTAGTACTGGCAGGCCCAGCCTGAGGTGTAAAGAGACGGAAGAGCTGGGTGGTGGGTGTCTTTACCTCTGAGCCTGCTTTTGAGGCACTGGCTGGCGAGGCTTTGGGGAGCACAGGTCCTGGGAACATGGGTCTTGTTCTAAGAGTGTGGCCAAGACAAAGTGGCCATCCAGCATAGAATCCTCAATGGTAAAGATGACTGGCCTGGGTAAAGGAATGGGGGTGAGCCAGGTCATCCTGCTCTGCTCGGGGCATCCCAGAGCCCTACCTCCTCCCCAG